TCTCCACTTACAGGTAAGAACAAGACATTTTCCTGGCTGCTGTAGATGACCTATGTATGAAAAAATCAAAAATTAAATAATATTTTTAAGCTGGTCTCGAGGAGTTCTAAAATCAGACCGACTTTAAAAGTACTGCTGGTGATGGAAAAGGCAAGTTAGAATGTAGTTCAGTTTTTTGTGATTATAACAGTCCACCATAATGTCAAAAACGCGCTTCTCTTGAAGGTTACCTATAATTGTAGTAAAGGATGTCTCATGGGCATTTCACAAGCCACTCCAACAAGCCAAGAGCTGAAATATGAGCTTGTGCACTCTGTTAGTAGGACTAACAGATCACTTTACAGGTACAGAAGTAACCAATCTGAATAAATGACTAATTTATAAAGTAGTTAATTTTTTTAATGTGTTCTAGTGTAGTTTTCTCCAGTTCCTCTCTCTGAAAAGCAGGAAGACTTGTTAAATACAGTGTTCTTGGAGAAGGTTGTGTTCAGATATTAAGTATGCAGATAGCTAGACAGCTCAAGCACAGTGTTTCCATATAATTTCTTATTCTGTCAAAGGTAAAAATGCTATCTGACAGGTAGTTGTATATAAGCTACTTTCTTACTCTATTTTATCTGCTGTAGAGTGATCCTGAGTGGATTAAATATACCTGGGTTTTCAATTTTATGATATGCACTCTTAACTATTGCCGGAGTGCATGTGTTGTTAGTACTTGGAATTTGTTGCCGTTTCCATAATGTCTTCTAAGTGAGCCTTTGCCTTGAGGTTGATACTTGACATTGAGAATAGCCTTGAAGAGGAGTAACACCAATCCAGCAAATTTATGGAAGGAAGTACGTTTGTGTGTTTGTATGCATGTGGCTGTTTTCTAGAAGTGAATTGGATGTTTTCAAAGTGTAAAAATCCAGATGGCAAACTCAATGCAACCGTCTCAGAATCAAAGCAAGTAATGAAAATTCTGTATTAATATTCTATATTGTACATGAATATGTTCATTTCCCTGCCCATGGCAGCGGAGTTGGAACTAGATGATCTTTGAGGTCCCTTCCAACCCTAACCATTCTATGATTCTATGAAAAATTGATGTTAATAACATAGCCCATTATATCGTTCTGTGCTCAGTCCTTGGGTCAAGTAATTCCAGTATTACTTGCCTAAGACAAAAAGAGCAGAAGCAGGTTGTCGAAGAGTGCAAACCAACATGAGTAGCTGAAAAAGGGTTTTTATTGTCTGAGAAATGATTCTAGGTAATTGAAGATTACTAGTAAGGTACATGAGGTTAGACGTATTTTATAGATACTATGAATCATTCATCTCGTTAGACCTGAGCACGAGTGGTGTAGCTCGCTAGTGCACTTTAAATGAATTTGCATGTTTAGTTCTTAATGATTTGTGCGCTACACGTGTATGCGTAAGTTAGAATTACTTCCATGCAAGAGTGTTAACTTGAAAGCTTGCTTTAATACCACAGAGCTGTAGATTTTCATTTCAGAATGTTGTAGTCACGGAGGTCCTCCTTTATTCTTTTTTGATAGATTATACTTGTCTTGGTTTTAGGACAAAAAAAGACTCGCAAATGAGGATACTAATGGTCTTTTGTCTTGAGGTCTAATGTTTAGTAATAATCATATGCTAATACTCAATACAATTTTTCTTCTATTTAAAGACCCTGTTTTTGTAAATCCTTGTGCACGGCCTTGTTTTGAATATGTGAACTAATTGCATTTACTCCTATGCTGCATACTTGTTTTGATACAACCAAAGGTTTTATTTTTAAAACCAAAGTGGTTACATTTCAGATTATGATTGAATATTTCCTAGTGCTTTCAAATAATATACTTTTAAAAAGCAGATACTTTTCAGAAGGTGCAGAAGATAGTCAGAAATATTTTAAAATCCATGAGCTGTTTTTACAGATTGTCAGTTACTCACATCTGATCATTTATGCAAAGTGTTATTAAAAAGCAGTGGAATCTGATACTTGATCACTCTTTCTGTTGCATATAAAGTGACTAGGATGCTGCATAGTATATCTGGTTAACCTTTTTTTAAAATTAAGAATCCATACAATTGATCTGTCAATGTAAAGTGACTTTTGGAAAGCATGCCTCCCTTCCATGTGGCTGTTAGAAAGAACATGGTTGGTATAAACAGTTATTCTTCTCAGTGGGGGAAAAAAAAATCCTGTAGCATTC